GTGAAACTTTCACTACAGTGTTATATGGAAAGAGGGAAGAAATTTTGTGGCTTTAGGTGCATGAAAACTTGAGTGCACATCATAGCTTTATCATTTCTAGTTACATAGTCTATCTAAGACATTTTATCCATAAAAGGAAATAAGGTACTCGCCTTGTAAGTTGATGTCAGAATTATTCATTAATTTAAAGTACAATGGTGGATGACTCATGTACTCACAGATTTCTCAAACTGGGGTTGGGGAACACAGATAACTAAAGGGATATTTTAAACTGAAAAACTAGAACTATATGCATCAGCATGAATATATTTAAAAACTGATACTAAGAGAAAAGATCAAATTAAAGAAAGATAAAGTACAGTATCATAATCTTTAAATAAGATTTTAAAACAAAAATACTAAATTTTATGAAAACATATAGAAATAAATAGAAAACATATATTTATGTACAGTAATAAAAACATAAAAAAATACATGGGAATGATAAATACCAAATTCAGGACAGGAGTTACCTCTGGAAAGGAAGAAGGGAGGAGTACATAGAGGGTACAGTCATATCAATATATTTTCTTTCTTAAGCTGAGCACACTGGTGTTTATTATTCTTAATAAATTTTTTTATTGATATTTTCATTTAAGAAATAGCATTGCCAAACAGTAAATTCTATGACTGAGATAGCATATGTAAAGCACCAGGTATAAAGAAGGAGGTTCAATAAAGATAACAATTATTTTGAAGTTTGGGTTTTCCCGTACAAATCTCAACTACTGGATGAAAGGAAAACATAGTATGTTTATTCTCAGAAAGAAGAAAAAAGCTTCTGCCAGGCAGGTTCTGTAAACTCTGGAACTTGGTTATTTTGGAAGATAAATTTTCTTTGAATAGATGAACTTTCTATGAGAGTTTTTCATTTATCTGGAGGTTACTTAGCTTTTATTTCGAATTTGTTGTGGACTACTAGGACTAAATAAAGCCCAACCATAACGTGAACATTCCTTGACGTGAATTATCTCCTTTGCCAATGTGAGTGTTCTAGTACTGTACACTGTGGACATTTATTCTGAAAAACTTTGCTTTCCCTTTCAGCTCAGCAATTTGTTAAAGCTTACTCACCTTGATTTGAGTATAAACCACTTTACTACAATCCCTCCTGCTGTGTTGAACATGCCTGCCCTTGAGTGGCTTGACATGGGGAGCAACAGACTTGAACAACTTCCTGATACTATAGAAAGGTAAAATAAATAACTTTTTATGCAATAGATGTGTTGAAGCCATCTATGATAAACCAAAAATAAACAAAACAAATGGGACCCCAAGCACAAGCAGTCACAATAGATCCGTTTACTTCTAAATGTGCTACTTTTTAATAGTATGTTCTCATTTACTCCAAATAAGTAAAAGGGTTTTTAGGAGAGAAAAACTGGCTATCCGACTTCAACAAATTGACAAGAAGATGCCACAATAATAACAGTGTTGCTTAGTGCATGCCAGGCACTTCTGTGCACTTTACAAATGGATGAGGAAACTAATGCAGAGATGTTAGCTAAACTGCTGAAGATCACAGCAAGTGTGCAAGACCCCAGGACATGTGCTCGGGTTTGAACTTCGGCAGCCTGGCTCCAGAGTCCATGCTGTAACCATTATGCATACTTGCCTTGACTTACGTGGGCATATTAATAATTTCTTAAGATTTTAAGATTTTCTCTTAAGATTCTAATTCGAATTAGACAACATTTACAGTTCTTCTTTAAGAAATTTTATGAGAATAGTAAAGAATTCTAGAATACGTTGACTTCATTTCTACCACCGCATGAGCGCTGTATTAGAGATTAACTCCCCGATGCAGTTTCCCTAATAATCAGGTCATGTGAAGTCAGTTAACTTTAACTGGCTAAAGGAGATGTTATAAAAGATGACATTTCTTTGATTTTTAAGTTAATAAGAACCAGGGTTTTCATATTATGTGATTAATTGCAGGAGCCTCTTTTAATTCTTTAGAATGCAAAATCTACATACATTATGGCTGCAACGGAATGAAATAACATGTTTGCCAGAAACTATCAGCAATATGAAAAATCTGGGTACTCTTGTTCTCAGCAACAATAAACTGCAAGATATTCCACTGTGCATGGAAGAGATGACCAATCTGAGGTAAAAAGTTGTACACACAAAACCAATGTGTTGCTTTTTGGCTGCAGAACAAAGTAATATAGAGAAATTATTATAAATAGACTTGAGTTCTCAATTCGTATGAATGAATACATTTAAAACTCTTTTCCAACTTTGAAATGCTATAATTTATAAATAGCATTCATATACTACTGGGCTACACTATTCAATAAAGAATCCTTGAAACTAAGGCAGTACTGGGATTTATCAGCGTTAGGGAACGCCCTCTGTTGGTGACTTTTTCATGAAAATCATCTTTATAACTGCTAATGAACCTCATCTGTGATATAAAAACCAAAAGCATAAAAATAGTGATTATTTTCCTTCTAATTAACTACAAGTGGACACAGGCAATTATGTTACAGATAGAGCAAAAATAACTTTTTACTAAGTTAATTACTCTCAGAACTCCCTCAAGTGTCTTCCAAAATTTAATTTCCTGACAGTGAGAATAAGACATGAGGATTCACACCAAATACCACAAGTTCCATAACAAAATCATTCATTCATTCACTTACTCAGCAACTACTGAGTCTTGTACTAGATGGTGAAGATATAATGATAAATAAGACACAAGTAAGTCTACAAAATTTGTAGAAACTTTAAGTTCATAGCATTAATTGTATATTTGAGCTGCATTAGAATTGCTCTTGGGGCCGGCCCGTGGTTTAGCGGTTAAGTGCGCGCGCTCTGCTACTGGCGGCCCGGGTTCGGATCCCAGGCGCGCACCGACGCACCGCTTCTCCGGCCATGCTGAGGCGTTGTCCCACATAGAGCAACTAGCAGGATGTGCAACTACGACATGCAACTTTCTACTGGGGCTTTGGGGAAAAAAAAAAAGGAAAATTGGCAATAGATGTTAGCTCAGAGCTGGTCTTCCTCAGCAAAAAGAGGAGGATTAGCATGGATGTTAGGTCGGGGCTGATTTTCCTCATAAAAAAAAAAAAGAGAGAATTGCTCTTGGAAGTTAAACTGCACCACGTTAAATATATGCTATGGACTAAGAGTTGCTTTTACAAGCTTTGAAAATAAGTTGTCTAAAGCTAATATTTTTTTCTTCTAGGAAAGAAACTTAAAGATTCTTGGGATATATCACATCTCACCAAGATGTTCAGTTATTGAAACCAGTTAAAAAGAGTAATTTAGTATATTATCATTTGATCTTTCTCCAGGGAAATAAGTGTGTACTTCTATGGCACCTATAAAAATACTGTTTTTTGGTGAACTGCTAGGTTTGTCAACTTCAGAGACAACCCATTGAAATTGGAAATAACACTTCCTCCCAGCGAAAGCATAGATGATGAGGACGACCGGGAATTATTTGGCCTTCAGTTTATGCACGCATACATACAGGAGTCACGGAGAAGAGCAGGTATGAGATTTGTATTTAACACCGGTTAAATATTCTTATTGGTAGAGGAATGTTTACATATACTAATTTCTTTTTAGATTTCTCATTCTATTCTACCTTTTCTGTCAAATTCCGGTCTCTTGGTCAATATTGTGGGAGGAAAAAAAGTGAAATTCAAATTGGTTCACAATTTTGATAAAGGCTTAGAGAGAGAGGTTGTAAAGATATTCAAAGTCTTTCAAGTGGAGTGAGAAAATAAATTTCCTTGGCGAAGCACTTCAAGCACAACCAAGTGAATGAAGATGTGATGCTTAAAGCTTCAGTACGTCATTCTATCAGTTTGTCATATATGTCAGTTTGCTCTTATGAACACTACTTTCTTTGCCATTTCCTCATTTTCTACAATCCACAAATAGCCAAATAATATTTTACCTAGGAATGAAAAACATGGTGGAAGAGAACACAGATTTTTAACCAATAGTTAAAATGTGAGGTTTTGATACACAGATTTCAATCACTTAGTCTCTGATAATTTAGAATTAAACCACTTTTTTTTTTTTAACTAAGGAAGGAAAGTCTTTAACTTAATCTAAGATTAAGGGAAGAGAACAAAGAGCACAATTCTCTGTTGATGAAAACAGTGGAATGATAGTTTAGTAACAGAAATCGTGGTTTTATAATTCACTAAACTGTCAGTTTTTGAGTTAAAAAGTAGATTTTAGTTACATCTTCAAACAGTTACGTTGAAGAATGAGTATAATCTGAGCAAACAACTACAGATTTTTTTCAGCCAGGGGAAATAATTTTTACCAACCCCAATGAAGGATGTCTAGGAAATGATTAGACCTGTTGTAGCAAGGTCAAAGCAGCAAAGGCATGGAGGATAGACGGGAGGAAGAGAAGAAAAAGAGTTATAATAGTTTGGGGCTGACAGTTTTGGAAAGCAGAGTATAAATATATAAAAGACAAGTAGGAGATAGAATTGATGATTGAATACAGTTGAGAAAAAGGAGGAGCCCAGGATGAATCTCAGTTTTTGGTTAGAGCAACTGGATAGATGGTGACATGGGGACATGAAGTACAGAAGCTGATTTGGTGGGCAGAATCAGGTGGCAGAAGTGGACGATGAGCTTCAGTTTCAACACAGTAAATTCGATGTACCCATGGGACATGCAGGAAGAGGTAGTTGTGTAGATGACTCTCAAGTTTAAGGAGGGGTTTACCGAACCTGCAAATTCTGCAGGCCAAGGAATAGCTATACGCATATCCCACATTGTCACTTTCTCATGATGTATTAAGGGAAATAAAAAAGGCTGGAGAAAACAATAATCTTGACTTACGGCTGGCATGCTGAAGGACAAGCTTTTCTTTCCATAAAGTACTTGGAACCACTGTCAGAAACATATCACTAACCTAAATGGACCACAAGACTGTAATTCTTGCGTGTGCATGTATGTCTGATGAAACATAACTGAGATGATGCCTGTTGCAGAATATCTTTTATTTCTGGGCATAAATAGTTGAATGATGCAAAACAGATTATATGACGCAAATTACCATTGCCTGACCCAGTAAAATCAGGTTAATTATTAAATGACGTATTATCTTCATTTATGTTCTCTTGATTGAGGGACATGAGTAATTAACTTAAAAAACAGTCAAATTACCTTACTTTAATAATATTCGACATAAAACTTAAAACAAGAGAAAGAAAATTACAACTTAAAGAGATAATAAGACCAAGTCTGCCCATTATTTTATTAAAATGTTCATGAATTACTACCATTAATAACAGTTAATATTTATTGAGTACTTTTTCTGTGCTTGGAACTGTTCTAAGCATTTTACATGTTATCTCATTTGATGTTCACAACAACCTTGTGAGGTAGGTATCATCATCATCATCCCCATTTTAAGAGGAGGAAATTGAGGCACAAAGAGATTAAATAGCTTGCCCAAAGGTATATAGCTGAGAAGCGGTAGGGTTGGGATTTGAACCTAGGCAATCTCATAAAACATCTGAGATTAAACTAGTCAAAAGATCAGGAATTAAAAATAGGCTAGGTTTCTAATTTATAATTCATACAATCATAGAATTACAGGATAAAAATAGTTACCTAAGAATATCATTATAATATCTAAAATTAATAATTCTAGATCTTGGTCTTGGCAAATGTACCAATGACTAAGACAATTTTTACAAATAAAGGCAGAAACAAATCAAGGATAAGATGTGGAAAAGAATAACAGTCCTACCATATGTTTGGTTTAATATCTGCTTGTGCATAGAAACTGCGTATGAACTAAATGAGGCCTAAATGTGAGAAGGTTTTTGGTTTCATTATCTAAATGCCACTTTATTCCAAATTATTTTCCCAAACAGAAGAGAATATACTTATATTTGTATTTATACATGTAAATATGGCTTGTTAAAATATATGAGATACCTAATTAACTTCAGAAGCTATCTGCAGATTTCAATTTAATTTGTGAATCAGGCTTATAAATATCTTTTTGGAACTTCTAATTAGATAATTATCCAGTTAAAAAAATGAAGTGAAATAGTTTTTTTCCTTAAAAACATCTCTTTAGTTTTGGTGTTTTTCATGGACAAATTCTGATAATATATAAATACAGGTAGGGCTCTGGAAATCTGAAGGTGATTCATTAATTGTGAACATCTCTGAATTTGTTTGCATTAGAAAAAAAATCATAATTGACTATCCTTTCCAGATCTGCATGGAAGAAACATCCACACACAAGCCAAATTCTCAGATTGGCCCTTGTTACAAATGGACAACTGTTCATTACATCTTGAATTTGGGAAATAAAAAGTATTAAATACAACCAAAGGAAAATAAATTTCCAAAATTAATGCAAATAGAAAGTTAATGTGCTAGTCACATGTTGATGTGTTATGTGTGTTTCAGATAACCAAGTCAACTGTTCAACTACTTTACCAAACTCTATAAATACAGATGGATAATACAAGACCCTGCTGAAGAGGATTCCTTTGGGAATTTGGTGAATTCTCTAATGTTTGAATTTCTAAAGTAAAAAACCTATTACCAAAGTTCAATGAGGTCACAACCTTTTTTAAAGTTCATATTATCTGCTATTTACATTATATTTTCATGAATATAAAAATACAATTTAAAATGTTATTTTTTTTGGTGGAAGACAGATGTTCAAAATTTCTTTTCCATTAAGCACTTGTTTCTGGTAATGAAGAAAGTTTTGGTAAAGCAGTTAACAATACATTTTCCAAAGACACCAGAGGGTCTGTATAGTACTGTAGAGCAGGACTGAATCCCTTCTGCTGTAAATACTGAATTCGGCCTTGGTCAATCAGCAATTTACAAAGATGCCCTATTTTCTTCTTTTCTTCAACAGTAAGAAACCTAAATCGAATAAACACAAACAAAACATTGTTACGATTTTGTAAAAGTTTATAAAAAATTATTTTAGTCACTCCTATTTATTGATAAGCTGCTAAATACCCCACAATATACTACATGCTATGTCCCATGTTTCCAAGACACATTTTATTTATGACCACAATAAAAATGTGTATATTTTAACATATTCTAAAATTAGAAGGTGAAATATATTTTCATGAATAAATTTTTGGTAATATTCATTTAAAAAGAAAGTATAGCAATAATAAAATATGTCTGACTCAGTGTTATGCATTTCAAAGTAGTCACTTACCCAGACAAACTCTCAGCGCTGTCATCTGTGATTCTGTATCCCCCATCATCATGCTCTTCACTATTATCATTCTGATTATCTTTTCTCATTGTGGTAATATTTGAGGCTTCCAAAGATGTTTTCCGCATTCCACAAGTTGCCCAACTACTCAGTCGCTGGAAATAGTGGAATTCCACTGCTCCAAGGCCTAGAGCCTTGAAATATTCTTTGCCCACATAATGTCTCCAATCACACCTGTGGTGACAACAGAGTGCAATAACAATGCCAGCCACAGGGGTCCACTTCTCTGGGACATTTTTTTCATTTCCTTCCTTGGCCAAAGTGTTAATTTCTTTTTCTGTTTTATCATTCTTTATGCGTTTGGCTAAAGGCTCTTCATTCCTTTCCTCACAACTGGCAGCATAGGTTTCAACCAAACATCGTAATGCAAGATCTGCAAACACAATTATGTGGTCCCCCCCAACCACATCATCTTTAAAAATAAATATTTTTTACATTTATTAAGCAGTATGGTTTTTAAAAACCCAACAACAAAAACAACAAAAACCTACTTAGGTTTATACTTGTAATAATTCATGAATTATCAACTCTGTTTATATTTGCTCTTCTCTCATTATTCTCTCTCTTTCTCTAGTGATTTATTCTGTATAAAGCCTACTTTCCAATAAAACTGTCTGAAGCTTAAGATCTACAAATTTGCAAAATCTTTTAGTCTGACTACTCCAATTGGCTCTCGTTCCTCCTACCCTAGCTGAGGAAATGACTTGTACAGAAAAAATTTATATACCTAAACTTACATTCCAGAGAAGTTTTGAGCTTAAGAAACTCAAAGACAGAAAGAAAGAGGAAAGGCATCTGCTAAGGCTGATGTTGGATGTCAGGCCTGAAATGTAAGATGTTCACAGCAGACAGTGATGAGTTGAAGAGCTGAGAGAAGAGGGAGGCAGAATGTGGAAAGCAGGCCTCACTGAGTAGCCTTACTGTATTTGTTCATTTATTCAGCAAATAGTTACTGAATGCCTTTCATCTGCAAGGCTTTGCAGATGTAATGATGATTCATATACACAAACTTAGAGGTGGATGTGCTCCACATTAAATTGAAAAATTTACAGTCCATTTGAAAACTAAACAAATGGATTTTTGATGACTGAAACTATTTCCCACTGAAGACTGCTATGTTGATGACAATACTGGAAAGATTCCAAATATATGCTGTAAAACCCACATTTTCTGTCTGATTAGACTGTCACACTGTGCCTGTTCCATCAAAAACATGTATTTTTAAATTTTATTACCCTAAGATGCCACCAATGAATGTTAAATGATCTGATATTTCACTAGTAAATTTAATCCAATATATGAATTTAAGTCAACATACATTATTGGTAATCTATTATTTGGAGAAAGATAGCTAATCTATTATTTCATAAACTATTATTTTCTGACAAAATATATTCAATCACTGTTTTACTTATATTGGACTTAAGTAAATGATTTACAGAAATGTGAATAACCAGAGAAATTATTAAAAAATGAAGTTATTTTAGAATCAGAAGGAGCTTTAGAAATCTATCTCAATCCCTGCTTTACAGAGAATTTAAGGGACAAAGCCACATACCTAGAAAGGGACAAGAAAACATAGCAAATTGGTGGCAAGATTATTCATTCATTCAAACATTTACTGAGTTCCTGTTATATACCACGCATCACGTTACCACACCCCTAATGCTCAAAATATTCACAGCATAGTGGGAGAATTAGATATATAAACAGATAATTAAAACACAATGAGGTAAAGACATGCAGAGGGTATTATGATAAACACCAAAGAGGGGTAACTTGTTTAAGCAGGCTCCCTGAAAGTGGTGACAACTGAGCTGAAGGATAAGTAGAAATTGGCCAGTTTAGACACTGACTCAGTATAGTAAATGGGAAAAGTACACGGGGTTTGAATTTGCTGACCAGTAAAGCTAGAGGCAGAAAGTGGGAAAGAGAGGAAGGCAGAGGCCCGACTGAGACTAGGACGTCATGTTAAAAAGCTCAGACATTATTCTGTGGGGGATTGGGAGCTACTGAAGAGTTTTAAGAAGAGGAAAGACATTAGGTGTACAGCAGATGGGTCTGAATATTAACATTTAAAGGACAGGTAGCAGAAGAAGACCATGAGAGAAACAGAGAAAGAATGGCACAGAAGTAGGTTAAGAACCAGGAAAGAATAGTGTCACAAGAGAAGGAAAGAGAATTTCAAGAAGGGCAAGGCAGTGCAGCTGAGATTTCTCAGTAAGCTAATAACAGAGTGATGAAGGTAGAATTCAGATAAGAGTGAATCAAGGGGGAAGAAGTGTGTGGAACACGAGAAATGGCCAATATAGATTATACTTCTAAGAACTTTGGATTAGAGAGGTAGGAGTAAAGGAGTATGCTTTTTTTCCTCCCCAGGATTGAACTGGCTGACTTCAGAAGGCTTTTATGAGGGTTAAATGAGATAAGGTACATGAATGTCATCTAAAAACTATGAAGGACAACACAAATATACAATACTCAAAGCCATTTGCAGCCAATTTGAATAATGTTTTATGGACGCTCCAAGTTCCCCATATGGGTGAATGATGAAACTAGCAATAGCCAGGAAGATGTAATGGTAGTTAACGTTTATTGACACAAACGTGCCAGACACTTTACATGTAACCTGGTAAATTATATATTATTATCCCCACTTTACAGATGAGATAACCAAAGCTCAGAAAGGTTAAGTAATCCGCCAAGGTTACACAGCAGAGTTGAAGCCTGGACTATCTGATTTCAAAGCCCATGGTCTTTCCACTTTACCCTGCTAGATCTCATGGATAGAAGTGCTAAGGCAAGACATCATAGATATTTTTCTGTCTAACATTTCTTTTTTCTTTTCCCCCAGAATCCTGATACATAATCATCATCTAGTGAGAGAGGTTTCAAAGCTCTTCCCAAGCGACTCCTCTAAAAAAATCAGTAGCTTTTGTGGTGGAATTATACAATTTCCATAAATAATTTGTTTCCTTTTTGGTAGAAATATAACCCAAAGAACTTTAAGGTCCCATATGACACAGTATTTACACATAAAACTCTTAATTCATCCTGCAAATGGCCAAAATGAGCAGATAAATAGGAAAGCTCTATATCCGATATAACCCGGGGCCAATGCTACTTGAAGATTAATTAGGTGCAACACAAGTGATAAAAACTATTCAAAAGAGACTATTTAAAAGGTTGGGACCATGTTAAGCTAAAACTTAATGTGCTAATCTAGACATTATTAATATGTTTACATACCTGTTGCCACACCACACAGATGCTTTCCAATTCCTACCACAGGCAGTTTTTCTTTGCTTAGCAAAGGAATCTTGTCTGAAACACAAGAAATGAGAACTAAGCTCTCCTGTGCGATAAGGCATTAATGTGATGTCCCAAAAGAGAGAACTGATTAGAATCTTTGAATTTTAGGGCTGAAAGAGACTCAAACAAAAAATTCTCACTTTATAGCTTAGGAATAAGATGTAGTGACTTGATAAGTAATAGAGCTGGCTACTGACAGAGTCAGAATTAGAATTCAAGTTTCCTGACTCAGGCCAATGCTATTTCTTCTACCCCGACTCAGGACTTTCCTCTGAAGCCTTATTTTCCTAAATATTATTAACCCATTGATAAAAAGACTCAAAACTTTTCCTACTAGAAGATTTATTTTGCATAAATAATATATATGATGAATATATATGAATAACATAATCAACACATAGTATACTTTATAAAATACTATATTCAATATTTTAATCAAACTACAAATAGAGCTTTTAATATATCTTGATCAAGAATAAGATAGCTTAGCTTTTCACATTGTTTTGGAAAAAAAAATTCATAACAGTCCTGTAAAAGTTAAAAAAAAAAACAAAAGTCCACAAAGTAATGCAGTAAAATGTAGTTTATCATAGTCATGGCTTTCATCTTTTTTCCTATTCATTTTCCTTCTTCTAAGATTCTGAAATGAAAGGTATGCTTGCCCCTGTAAATCCAGCTACAATACCTAGAACAGTGAATTGTCCAATGGAGGTAGTTAGTAAACATTTCAATTTTTCTGTTGCTTGCTTTCAGATGGTATCACATGCTAGCAGAAATTGGTACCAAGTGGATTAGTTTGCTCACACCACGGAATACAGAGGTTCAAATTAAGGTACTTCAATGAGCTTATCATCAATTAGGGTGAAGAGAAAGGATGTGTAAGAAAGCCCTTTCATTTTTATGCTTGACAAATTACCTCATTCCTCTCTCTCCTATTTCTTTGGGCTTAGAAAATAGGGCAGATGAACTTCTGGGAAAAGAAGGAAGTCTGAATACAAGCACGTGGTTAGCTACCTCCTAAAACTCCACCAAAATAAGAATAAAAGAATTTTTTAAAAAGGTATACACTCACAAGTTCTGGAAGAAGACAAGAGGAGACAAAAGTGAAAACGGCTGAGAATCAAGCAAATTTATTCCACAAATCTCCAAAAGATTCAGGAATTGGCAGCATCAGGTACCTTGAAAGTAGAGCTGAAGTGGTTATAATAATAGAGGGTCGGTGGAAAGTCTATTTAAGAAGTAGTCAGATCCCCACCTCACAGATACTTGGTGACTACCTCTTGCCCACTTGCTGGAACACCACAGATTAACTCTAAGGAGCAAGTAAAATAGGAGGGACAATAAGAAGTCGAGAGTTGAAGTGTAGCAAAATAGGATTAAGTGAGTGTACATACTAATTTCCCTAGCTCTCATTCCCCACTGGGTCCCAGAGTGTTGGTAATCAGACCTTTACCTGCTAGACAGGTGATCAGAAGAGTCTTTTCTGGGGAATCTGACAAGCCCAAGAGGAAAGATCACATCTTAGGCAGATCACCCAAAATTGGAGCTTAGAGTCAACAACCCTGCCTGAGGACTCAGAGATTTTAGTCTCTCAATCCTAACTATGAACACACCATCAAGAAGACCAGATGTTTGAGGACAGCCTCTAAGTTTAAAGACACAGACCAAAACAAATGGAAAAGAGCAACTTGGTGAAAAGAGAGACTATGAAGGGAGAATATATCTTAGAAATTAAAACTCAGAAGAAATTAAGTTGAGGAAATTTTAGAAAGTATAGAAAAAAGAGTAAAAGATATAAAACAGAGAAGTAAAGTCAAGAAAAGCAGAGAACCATTCTAGGAGGCCTAATAACTAAATCATAAGAGTTCTTCCATAAAGGGAGAAAAGAAAAAACGGAAGAGAAAACTATCAAAGAAAGAATGCAAGTTATATATAGGTTGTTATATGTAAGCCTCATGGTAACCACAAAGCAAAAACTATAGTAAATACACAAAAGATAAAAAGAAAGGAATATAAGCATACTGCTAAAGAAAGCCATCAAAACACAAAGGAAGAGAGGAAGAGAGGAAGAAAGAAATAGAGACGAACTACAAAATCAGCCAGAAAACAATTAACAAAATGGCAATAAGTACATACCTATTAATAATTATTATAAATGTAAATGGACTAAATTCTCCAATCAAAAGACAGAGTGGATGAATGGATAAAAAAACAAGACCCATCTATATGTTGCCTACAAGAGACTCACTTTAGATATAAGGACACACACAGACTGAAAGTGAAGGGATTGGAAAAGATATTCCATGCAAATGGAAACAAAAAGAAAGCTGGAGTAGCTATACTTATATCAGACAAAATACACTTTAAAACAAAGACTGTAATAAGAGACAAAGAAGGGTGTTACATAACGATAAAGGGGTCAATTCAACAAGAGGATATAATATTTGCAAATATTTATGCACCCAACATAGGAGCACCTAAATATATAAAGCAAATATTAACAGATCTAAACAGAGAAATAGCAATACAGTAATAGTAGGGGACTTTAATATCCCACTCACATCAATGGATACACATCCAGACAGAAAATCAATAAGGAAACATTGGCCTGAAATGACACATTAGACCAGATGAACTTAACAGATACATACAGAACACTCCATCCAAAAGCAACAGGATACACATTCTACTCAAGTGCACATGGAACATATTCCAGGATCATATGTTAGGCCACAAAACAAGTATTAACAAATATAATAAAATTGAAATTATATCAAACATCTTTTCTGACCACAATGATATCTAACTAGAAATTAATTACATGAAGAAAACCGGAAAATTCACAAATATGTAGCGATTAAACCACAAGCTACTGAATAACCAATGGGTCAAAGAAGAAATCCAAAAATATCTTCAGACAAATGAAAATGGAAATATAACACACCAAAATTTACAGGATGTAGCAAAAGCAGTTCCAAGAGAGAAGTTCATAGCGATAAATGCCTACCTCAAGAAACAAGAAAAGTCTCAAATAAACAACCTAACTTTATACCTCAAGGAACTAGAAAAGAAGAACAAACAAAGCCCAAAGGTAGTAGAAGGAAGCAAATACAGATTACAGCAGAAATAAATAGAGACTAAAAAGACAATAGAAAAGATCAATGAAACTAGGAGCTGGTTCTTTGGAAAGATAAACAAAATTGACAAACCCTTAGCTAGACTCACCAAAAAAAAGAGAGGACTCAAATAAATAAAATCAGAAATGAAAGGGAAGACGTTGCAACTGATACCACAAAAATACAAAGGATTATAAGAGATTACTATGAACAACTATACGCCAACAAATTGGACAACCTGGAAGAAATTCCTAGAAACATACAACCTACCAAGACTGAATCACGATGAAATAGAAAATCTGAGCAGACTGATTACTAGTAACGAGATTGAATCAGTAATCAAAAACCTCCCAACAAGCAAAAGTCCAGGACGAGATGGCTTCAATGATGAATTCTGCCAACCTTGCAAAGAATTAATACCAATTCTCCTCACACTCTTCCAAAAACGAGAAGAGAAGGGAACTCTTCCAAACTCATTTTACGAGGCTAGCATTACCCTGATACCAAAACCAGACAAGAAAATTACAGGCCATATCCCTGACGAATACAGATGCAAAAATCCTCAAATCCAACACAAAATTACCAAATCAAATTCAACATTAAAAGGAGCATACACCATGATCAAGTAGGATTTATTCCAGGGATGCAAGGATGGCTCAACATCTGCAGATCAGTCAATGTGATACACCACACCAACAAAATGAAGGATAAAAATCATATGATCATATCGATAGATGCAGAAAAAGTATTTGACCAAATTCAACATCCATTTATGATAAAAACTCTCAACAAAGCGTATAGCAGGAACACACCTCAACATAAAGGCCATATGTGACAAGCCCACAGCTAACATCATACTCAATGGTGAAAGGTTGAAAGCTTTTCCTCTAAGATCAGGAACAAGACAAGGATGCCTACTCTTACCACTTTTATTCAACATAGTACTGGAAGTCCTAGCCAGAGGAATTAGGCAAGAAAAAGAAATAAAAGGAATCCAAATTGGAAAGAAAGAAGTAAAATTGTCACTATTTGGAGATGACCTGATAATCTATATGGAAAACCCGAAAGGCTCCATCAAAAAACTGTTAGAACTAATAAACAAATTCAGTAAAGTTGCAAGATACAAAACCAATACACAAAAATCTGTTGCATTTCCATACACTAATAACGAACTATCAGAAAGAGAAATTAAGAAAACAATACCATTTATAATTGCATCAAAAAGCATAAAATACCTAGGAACAAATTTAACCAAGGAGGTTAAATTTCTCCTTTCTTAATGAAAGAAATTGAAGAAGACACAAGTAAACAGAAAGATATTCTGTGCTCATAGATTGGAAGAACATTGTTAAAATGTCCATACTACCTAAAGCAATCTACAGATTCAAAGCAATCCTTATCAAAATTCCAATGACATTTTTCATAGAAATAGAACAGTCCTAAAAGTTGTATGGAACCACAAAAGACCGTGAATAGCCAAAGCAATCTTGAGAAAGAAGAACAAAGCTGGAGGCATCACACTCCCTGATTTCAAACTACATTACCAATCTATAGTAATTAAAACAGTATGGAATTGGCATAAAAACAGACACACAGATCAATGGAACAGAACAGGGAGCCCAAGGGCCGGCCCTGTGGCTTAGCGGTTAAGTGCGCGCGCTCTGCTGCTGGCGGCCCGGGTTCAGATCCCTGGCATGCACCGATGCACCGCTTCTCCGGCCATGCTGAGGCCGCGTCCCACATACAGCAACTAGAAGGATGTGCAGCTGTGATGTGCAACTTTCTACTGGGGCTTTTGGGGAAAAAATAAATAAATAAATCAAATTAAAAAAAAAAAAAAAAAGAACAGGGAGCCCAAAAATCAACCTATGCATATAAGGTCAATTAACTTATGACGAAGGAGTCAAGAATATACAATGGGGGAAAGGATAGTCTCTTTAATAAATGGTGCTGGAGAAACTGGACAGCCACATGCAAAAGAGTGAAACTGGACCACTATCATTACACCATATATAAAAATTAACTCAAAAGGGATTAAAGACTTGAGCGTAAGACCTAAAATCATAAAACTCCTAGAAGAAAACATAGGCGGTAAGCCCCTTGACATAGATCTGGGTGATGATTTTTTGAATCCGACACCAAAAGCAAAAGCAACAAAAGCAAAAATAAACAAGTGGGACTATGTCAAATTAAAAAGCTTCTGCACAGTAAAGAAAACCATCACAAAATGAAAAAGTAACATACTCAATAGAAGAAAATATCTGCAAATCATATATCTGACAAGGGGTTAATATCCAAAATATACAAAGTACTCATACAACTCAATAGCAAAAAAAGCCCAATCTGATTGAAAAATGGGCAGAAGATCTGAATAGACATTTTTCCAAAGAAGATGTACAGATGGCCAACAGATACATGAAAAGATGCTCAACATCATTTTTCATCAGGGAAATGCAAATCAAAACCACAATGAGATATCACTTCACACCTCTTAGAATGGCTATTATCAAAAAGACAAGAAATAACAAAGTGGGCGAGGATGTGGAGAAAAGGGAACCCTTGTGCACTGTTGGTGGGAATGTAAATTAGTGCAGCCACCATGGAAAACAGTATGGAGGGTCCTCAAAAAATTAAAAATAGAACTACCATATGACCCAGCAATTCCACTTATGGGTATTTATCTGAAGAAAACAAAAATGTTAACTCGAAAAGATATATACATCTCCACGTTCACCTTTACAATAGGTAAGATATGAAAACAACCTAAGTGCCCACTGATGGATGACTGGATAAAGAAATTGTGATATATATACACAGAAGAATATTACTCACCTACTAAAAGGAGTGAAATCTTGCCATCTGTGACAACATGGATGGACCTTGAAGGCAATATGCTAAGTGAAATAAGTCAGATAGAGAAAGACAAACACTGTACCATCTCTTATATATGGAATCTGAAAAATTGGTGGTTGCCAGATGCAAAGGGTGAGGGATGGGAGATATGGGTGAAGGGGATCAAAAGGTAAAAAGAAAAAAAAAAAAGAAAAGCAAGGCAGTCGTGTCTCATTAACATTTTTTTCTTTGTAGCTTTCCCTGATGGGGATGATCCCTCTGGCATTTATGGAAAAAAAAAAAAAAAAAAGAATGAATGCAAGGAAACTTCGCAGAAAGCTCAGAATACTAGACTCTCTATATCAGGATTTCTCATCCTTGGCATTATTGACTTTTTTGGCCGAAATAATTCTTTGTTGTGGGGAGCTATACTGTACCTTATAGGATATTTAGCAGGCCTCTGGTTTAGCAGGCTCCCTGGCCTCTACCCATCAGATGCCAGCAGAATGCCCACTATTACGACAAGCAAAAATGTCTCAGACATTGCCAATGCCCCCTAGGGGACAAAACTGCCTCCAGTTAAGAACCACTGCTATCAACTAAAGAGTCCACCAAGTGCCTAGCGCAGTGGATAAAAATATAACCATATCAAGGCACATCACTGTGAAAATTTATAATACTGAAGACAAAGAAAATAGCCTATCAATTTCTAGACAGGAAAAAGCAGCTCATGTAGGAGGGATAAGGACTCAGAATGGCACTGAACTTTTAAACAGCAACACTAGTAGAGTAATACTTTCAAAATTCTAAAGGAATATAATTTTAAACCTAGAAATAGAAATACCCAGCCAAATCAAGTGTTCAGGATAAAATAAAAGATATTTTCAGACCATGCAAGGTCTCAAATTTATTTCTAATATATTCCTTCTCAGGAAGCTACAGGAGGAAGTGCTCTGCCCAAAAGAGAGAGAGTAAATTAAGAGGAAGATGTGGGATAAGATGTTGAAAAAGAAATTCCAACCCAGGAGAGGGAAGGGAGTCCCTAAGATGAGACTGCCAACTTTTAAGGTTGACATTTGTGCCCCAGAAACAGAGGGTGTTCAGTATGGATTAGAACAGGTCTGTAGGATCCAAGAGAGATTTTTTCAGGAAGACAGAATCTGATAGACTACTTGATGTAAATATTATGATAAACACATTTTCAAAAGACCAAATAAACAAAATTAAAAATTAATTATTAACTCCACAAACAATAAAAAATTGTACAGGAAAAATGTAACTTACTTTACCACATGATTCAGCTGTGGGGCGGCGGGAGGGGAGAAGGATGATTTAATCATTTAACACACATTAGGAAGATGAGGAATGGGAAATGTATGCATTTGAGGTAGGGCAGGGGTAGAAAATCCTCATCTTCCATAGGGAAAAATCAATAAACTATGCTTGAAAAAACAAAAAGCGGCAATACAAGCCTGTTATTAGAGACTTTAGATAAATACAAAAATTCACCTATAAGAACTGACTGTTTATCTCTGAAGAGAGAGAAATGGTGGAGAGGGAACTGGCTGGTGCTGTTTTTATAAGAACTTGTAGAACTATCTGACTCTTAACCACACATGTATAACTTTAATAAAAGCCAAAGAAAAAAAAAAGAAAAACAAAAAACAAAGAAATATATGTCAATAACATCTGAACAAAGCTGGAGGAAAAAAAGGAAAAAAAGAGGAATGTTCACAGTGAACTCATTCAATAGATACTTCTATTCTTTTTCTTCCCCTAAAATAATTAACAGTAAATTCCAATCCTGCAACCAAGAAAGAAAGAGAAGTTCTCTAAGTAAATGCCACCTTTTACCCATTTCAAAACTACCAAAATCACTCTCAGTATGTTAAATAAGTCTTTTATTTTAAACATCAAGAAAAAACTGAAGTATGGAAGTCAGGAATTATAATCCACATTTTCACTGGTGGCTAATAATCTTGGGTAGGTCACTGTTTAGCACACGCAAGAGAGATTTCCCAAAATTAATGCATATTCTAAAGGGTAGTATTGAACTAAATTGTAGAGGTTTGCCAATCCCTTCTTTATTAATTTTTATCTCTTATTTTGGTTTAAAAATACAGGATGGGGGTACATGGTGGGCATAAAAGAGTCACATAGAAACTATTCAAGAAATATGGCAGTTTATTTTCCAGCATGCTTACGAAGAATTCAACACATGGCATAACAACTTGTTTAGGGTTTATGACTTCAGAAAAGTAATATATTCAGTTAAATAATTTTAAATACAGTGATTTATATATAAATGCTGGGTTGCTTCACAAGAGTGGACTAAAATTAGCAGATGGGGTTGCTGGGATGTGTTTGTACTATTTTCATTTAAAATAATATGAAAAACTATGAAAAGGCACAGAAAGGGCACTAAAGAGTATAATTGAGGGATGTGTGTGTATATGAAATGTGAGTTTCATAGAGATGAGTTATTTTCTTTGATACCATTTAAAATTGTAGGAAGTATCTTTTACACATTAGCTAGGCAGAGAACTATGTCATTTCCTTAACAGTTTAGGTAAGTCATGCTAACTAATGCTAGTGTATGGCACAAACAGACTCAAGAATTTAAACAGGACATAGAAGCAACATAAGGACATATTATTAAAACTTTAAAACTATTCCCTAATATGACACTTCATTTCTAGTTGATACTGAAAAACAGTTTTTAAAAGTTTCAATTCATTTTACATTTATCTAAATGTTGGATATAACAATCTATATTAACAATGGATTAATTTTACTTTGTTTTCAGAAGCACTGTTCTGCATGTTTGGATTTCTAAGCAACCCTCAGAGTCTGAAAGTTCTATGATTTATGGTAGGGCAACAGAGAGTTATGCAACTTACTTAAACACAAGTGTTGAATATCAATTTGAAGTCTTTCAAACACTGAATTTTTCTTTCTGTGTTTGCCATCCACCTGCACAAACAGAACATTATTATAACAATGGCTTTTTATGTTAAAAGCTTTATGAGAAAAAACAAGATTTCTATTTGTTTTCAAAATTTGGAGTAAATAAGTTTCCATCTTATTTTTTAGTATTTTAAAAATAGAATCATTAATATAACAATTTAAGATTGTATATTCTTTGATGGAAACTCCAAAATAACATCATACCATTTTTATAAGGCTTAAAAATTTTATAAATTATTATGTATATATTATTTCCTTTATTTATATTTCCCTAGTATACTATTTTTGGCTCACTCCTCTTCTTACTCTCCCTGCAAGATCACAACGTGTCTTATCGATATCCACGTGCCTATGATTTATAAATCTACATTGTGGCCCAGACTTCTCTGATCAGCATCAGACACATATCCAATTGTGAACCAGAAAGCTCTACTTCAACAGCAAACTCATTCAGAACTGAACTCATTATTTCTCCCTCTAAACCTATTCTTCGTCTTCCTCCTTCTCAATCCCAAACTCAGGGAAGAGCACCACTTAGTCACATAAGCCATAAAATACCACCTGAAATAACTACTTGTCTCTCATACTTAATGAAGAACAAATCAACAAGACTCGTGGCTTCCAACATCTAAACATTTCTCATACTCTTCCCCTCTTCTCCATCCCACCGCAATAGCCTTAGGTCTGGCCCATTTCTTACTTGGATTACTGGATAATAATTATCTTATTATTAATCTCTCTACTTCAACTTTCAGACTCTTCCAATATACCTTTAACAGCACTGCTAAAATGAACTTATTTTTTCCTGCAGAAGAGTTTCCCTGAGCTAATAAAATGAACTTTCAAAAATCCTTTTTTACTTCACCAACTCTTATATTCTTTCAATCTCCTCTCAGCTGTCATTTCCTCCAGGAAACCTTCTGTGACCCACACTAGACTGAGGTCAGTTGATGTTCTATCTTCATTTTCGCACAGCATCTGGTACTTACAATTACCCTAAGACACTTAACATACTAAACCAAAGAACTTATAAATCTGCCCCAATAGATGTAAGCTTCTTGAAGACAAGAACTAAATCTTGTTTCCACTCTATCCCCAGCATGAAGGAGAATAAAGTCAAACTCCTTCCTTAGCATTAAACAGGAGACCTTCCATGGTTTAGCCCTCCTCTGCTGTTCATCACTGCTGAACTCGACTTTGCACCATGTACTCCCATTACACAGAAATGCTTCCCTGCTTCCCTGCTGTTTCAGGCATTTGGTTATACTGTTCTTTCTTCCTAGAATGCTTCTCAAATTCTCTTTCCAGCAAACACTAATTCACCTCTCAAGATATAGCTCAAGCATCACCTTTTCTGTGTAGTCATTTGTCATCCCTTCCCTGCAGTAAAACTTGTCACTCCCTTCTTTGAACCCATACTGTACCCTGCGCACACGTTTTTTCATCTTTTCATACTTTTCTATAATCATTTATCTGTCTCTCTCTCTTTTCTAAATATAAATAATAGAGCATAGTGACCTTGTTTTATTTGATAGATAACCCACTGTCTATCATGGTGCCTGGCAGTATGCTCAATAAATGTTTACTGAATGAACAGTCAGTTAAGTGGCAGAGCTAGGTTAGGACCTAAGACTTTTAACTCCTAGTTTGAGCTTGGCTCTTTCCACATATTTTCTTGTCTCTAAAAATAATTTTAAGAACTCAGATCAATGGACTATCAAAATTTAGATTAAAAAATTTACTTTCAGTTTAAGTCAACAATATAATTAGAATAAAAAGCTATGATCAAATAAACACACAAAAAATTCACTTTATTTAAGAGACATTTTTAAGTATCTTTTTCTAAACAAGAAAAGTACAAAGTTTGGTTACTAATATACTACAATGGTTTCACTTACCTTGAATCTTGTGGTCACCTTTTCTACTAGGATGAAGTGAACTTTTTCAGCATCTTTTAAGGCAATATCAACCCAATGAGATAATTTTCCCTTTCCTGCTCCAAACTCAACAAAGCATCTTCTTGGACCAAGTAACTTTAATTTTTCAATGTTACCTAAAATAGAAGCCTGCAAACTTCACAAGATTATTTTATACACTACAGCAAACCCATTTGGCTCAAATGGGAAAATAGCAAGGTAATTTCTACATAAGGCAGCATGTTTACATTGATAATTTTTGTTTGGCTTTAAATTTTTTCTCTTGCTTTTCAATATTTAACATGAAGTACTCAGAACCATAACCAGGCCAAAAATTTTTTATATATGTTTATACACATTTTTTGCAATGGAAAGATTCTGTACCCTGGAAGATAAACTAAACAAAATCTCATTAATAACTATATTTAGAAAGAATAGAAATGTTAGCTTTTAACAAATGAACAAAAGGCCATTTTTAGTAGAGTTACCATGACCTAAACATACCTGCTGTTTCAGGTGTTTGGTTGCAGAATCACCATTTTTAGGGTCATTAAGGGCATCATGCAATGCTGGATGGGACATAATTTGATCTTTAAGTGTAGAGTTCAAACCTGTGCCAAATATAAGCACAACAGCTTAAGCAACCAAACATGAAACCATAGGGCTTTGAACAATGGGAGTAACATCTTTTACACCACACTGGTATCAACTCATATACCAGCTAATTACTCCAAAAAAATTTAACTTTCAACTTTAGGCCAACTTACCTTCACTTGCTTTTTTCAATTTCTTAATTAAGTTTTCCAACTGCTCTTCAGAGAGAGAAGAAATTGGAACCTATATACAAAAATGGGGCATGAGAGCTCATCTGGGAACCAACCATCACTAATAATATTGATTCTATAGGAAAATGCATTCTAAATTCAAAACAACTGATTTATTCCAAACAAAAATTGGAACACAGCTTATTCACAACATGGAGATAGCTCATAAATACCTTTTAAAATTAAATATTAAGTCAAGTACTTACCAATTGTTCAGGTATTTCTGTTTCGTCTTTTAAGCCTGCATTAATATCTTGAATAAAGAAGTCCTTAACAAAAAAAACACAAAACCATAACAATACTGTTATCAAGGTGAAGAGCTCACAAAAATTAAGCTGAAAAACTAATCCTTCCCTTCTTCCCATACTCTGTACCTGCCTTCTCTCTTCCTCCCATTCTTTTACTCATTAAATAATTATTGAGTATCTACTGCGATCCTTAATTTGCTTTAGGTGCTGAGGATTCACCAAAGTAGAGAACAGAACAAACAAAAATCTCTGTGTTCATGGATCTTATATTCTAGCAAGGTGGTTATCTGAATAAACATTTATAGTCTAAAGAAATTCATTAGTAATTTTTATTAAAATTTTTACCTGTCTACAGCATAGACTGAAGACTGTGCCAGTTTTCCTTATGGTGTTAAAGCAAAAACAACAAAGTACACACATGGCTTATTTATCAGGCAAGCAGCATGACCAAAAACAGAGATAAAGTACAGATATTACAACAGTTTAGGTCTGATTTCTCCTATTTTAAAATGCTAATTAAAATCGAAAATAGAAATGTCCTGTGACACTGAGTTGTTTAAATTAACATAGTGAGATCTTTCTAGTCCATCTTCAAAGAGATAGATTCTAGGTAAGGATCTGGATCAGCACTGTCCAACAGAACTTTCTGCAGTGACGGAAACGTTCTGTATCTGCCCTGGCCAACGTGGTAGCCATCAGCCTTGAAATACAGCTAGTGTGACTGAGGAACTGGATTTTCAATCTTATTTAATTTTAATTAACTCAGATTTAAATAGTTACACATGGCTAATGACTACCATATTGGACCATGTAGATATAGATGAATGAAATAGTACTATTTCTACAAATCCTATTTTAAAAATGAAAACAACTCCTGGGACATTATGAATAGTAATGGGCTTTTGTTGCACAGATGGCAGAAAGGTAACATGCTGATTGTGCGTTGCTACCTTTACCTATATGGATAATAATGGAAAGGGGTGACTGAGTGGAACAGGCGAAGACTGCAGGTATTACAATGTTTGTTGGGCGACTGGCAAAACTATAATAGAAAATTAGTAGTAACTATTATAATTTGATGTGCTTTCAGTTGAAAATGGTTCCAAAGAGTGCTCCAGGTAACTTGTGTTGTGGACTAGATTTTTAATTTTATTTATTTATTTATTTATTTTTCCCCCCATAGCCCCAGTAGACAGTTGTATGTCATAGCTGCACATCCTTCTAGTTGCTGTATGTGGGACGCGGCCTCAGCATGGCCGGAGAAGCAGTGCATCGGTGCGCGCCCGGGTCCGAACCCGGGCCGCCAGCAGCGGAGTGCGCGCACTTAACCGCTAAGCCACGGGGCCAGCCCTGGACTAGATTTTTAAATGTGAAAACAATTTATATCGGATAAACTTATCACCGACTTACTTTTATTTGGTTTATAAAATTTTTAAAAACTGATGAACAGTTTTACAAAGTAAAGCAGAATGGTGAAAAGACTTTACCTGGGTTCCAAGTTTCATATTATACAGAGTGTTCTAAATAAATACTGCTCTGTTATTTCTTTCCTCCATCTCATCATCCCACTGCTTTTCTCCCTTTCCTTTCCACTGTGTCCTGGCATGCAATGGAACCCGTGCAGGGGTATCCCCTTTTTAATAAATCCACCTATTTTCTCAAAGTTTTTCCAGAACACATATTCCACTTGCTTGCTTTAACTAAAACTTAGCATTTAGGTAAGGAAGATAACCTCCATGCATACTTAAAGTAGAGGCAACATTCTCTTTTTACTAAGGGGCTAAGTGGGGGTGGTCATCATTTTTCTTCTACGTATCTCAATGTAAAAATACTTTCTTTTAAGCTTATGCCATGTGGCCTAGTGCTTCTCAGTTGGGAGGCATCTGACAATGTACGGGGATATTTTGTTGTCAAAATGACTGAGAGGTGCTTTTGGGAGACAATTCTCCAAGGAATCTCTTAATTTTCTGCAAGTTTACAAGCAAAGGCACTGACTACCTTTGTTCTAGACTATCTTTTCAAGGACGTTTGTATGCCAAGCAACCTTGGAAGATAGAAATAGTGTCTCCTAGAGCAGATGGCAGGCCTGCTTATTGTACTGTATAATAAAGAAATGTCTACTTAGGGAATAAAGGTCAGGCAAGTTTCCTTAATGCCCATTTTAAAAGATTTGTATTTCCTAAGCTTGTCTTTAGCTATGACATAAGATATGCACAAAGACGTGCGGTAACTGCCTAGGCCCCTCTGTGCTGACTCCATGGGCTCTGGGGAACAAGTGGCATTGATGCAGACAAGAAGCTTATGTTGCTTGCTTTGCAGTGAGTAATAAAGTCCTTTGTCTCTGACCCAGGAGTCTCATATCCTCTGCCAGCATCCATCAATCTATGGCAGGCTAACTTGTTAGCTTGAAAATAAGATTAAATTTCAGATCCTTCTACCTCTATTTTGTTCTTTGTCCTTTGTCATTTGGTGTTCAGAGGCCAGGACTGCTAAATACAGGGATGTTTTGAAAAGCACAGGACAGGACTGTCCTACCCAAAATGCCAAAAATTCCCAATGGGAAATACCAGGCCATTAAATCATCTTCTAAATCTCCCAGTGGTTGTCAACTATCAATCTGTTGGTCATTATCCAACATGCATTAGGGACTTTGACACCAAGCTCTTCTTTCCACTAAGTCCAGCCAGTATGACTAGGTTTTCAAGCCACCCAACATATAATAGCTCTGCTTGACCTTCTTAACTCTAATGACCTTCACTCCACTTCAGCAAACTACCTCCATGGGCCCTCTAGACTCTGGCATTACCGTGAACCATTTAACCTCTGAAATCTTAAACTCCATTAGCCCACTCTCTGACCATAGCCTTATACTATGCTAGTACCAAGTATAGAGGTTTTCTTGCTCCTAATCATATTCTTATACCTTTTCAAGACCTCTATTTAGTTTTTCTCAGCTAATTTCTGGCTTCCCTTTCACGCCATCCAGTCTGGATATCATCATTATCATTATCTTCCACAATCTGGTTTTTCTGTCACACCCACCCTTACAAAACCTAAAGCCTGCACTAATATGACTTTTAACTCTCAATATCTTGCCTGCTGAACACTGCTGAAGTAAAACCACCCAGTCATTTGGACTGCTGCCAATTCAAAATCAATATCTCAGAGATGCACATTATTCTTCATAACTCTAATTCTAAACTTTTACCTCTCTCCTCAAATCTCCTGCACCATCATCTCTCTGAATCACCTTGTCTCTTCAGTAAGAAAAGTGTAGCTATCAAAGGACAACCTTCTCAATTAATCCTTCTGCAGCTCAAATTTGCCTGAACTGATAGCCATCTTTTACTCTTTCTCATCTATCTCAGAAGAGCTATTTCTCCCTCTACTGTTCCCTATCTCTGCCTGCTTTCCAGGGAGCCTCACACCATCAGTGATGCCCTCTTCTATTTCCAATTTCTTCCTCTCTACTGGTTCATTACTCTTAGCATATAAATAAAACTAAATTTTCTCCCATTTTAAAACGAACTACCTCTATCCTACCTTCCTCTCTGACTGCCATTCTAACTCTTAAGTTCCACTCATAGCCAAGTTTCTTGAAGAATAGTCTGTGCTTGTGATTTCTACTGCTTTACCTTCCATTTACTCATATATGATTCCCATCTGATTTCTGCCCACTCCAATCTACTAAATATGCACTTTGCTAAAGTCTTTGATCTTTAACAATCACCATATGGCCAACCCGATGGATTCTTTTCTGTCCCTGCCTTACTTGATTGCTCTGTGGTGCTGGACACTGTTGAACACTATTGTCTTTTCAAAATTCTCCTCCCCCTGGTTTCTGATACACTATGCTTCTCTGGTTTTTCTCTTTCCTACTTCTGCAGCCACCCCTTCTCAATATTTTTCAATGGTTCCTATTAGCAGCTCATCCTTTAACATCAAGGTGACCTAGAGTTCTATCCTGGGTCTCATGCTCTACTTCCTGACTACCTCTCAAGTCTCATCTTCTACTCAGCTCTCCCCCTGTATTCTATACACCAGTCTAGATTTCTATACATTCCATGTGAAATGTCCAGTCCCAGACAAAGCTATCTACTCTCCCACCTCTAGGCCCTTACACATGTTTTCTTCCTTGTCTGGCTGATTCTCCTTACACCTGTAGGTCTCATGACACTCCTTCAGAGAAGCCTCCCCATCTTTCTAAGCCCCTATATTCTTTCAAAAGAGGGTTAGGCTCTCCTCCTCTGTTCTTCCATAGCCCCGTGTGCTTAATCTATTTTAAAACACTCAATACTGCATTTTCCACCTCCCTTACTAGACTGTAATGTTCTTCTAGGCAGGGTGCTTGGTACAATGTCTGGCATAAGTGCTCAATTAATATCTATTGGATAAACAAGTTCCTTTTTTCCCCTCTCATCTCTTACCCTGGGTAACTTAAAAATCCAAAGCTTTCCCCTATGACCTGTACGTAGTTGACTTCCAAATCTTGATTACTGGCCCAACCTCTCTACTGAGTTTCAGACTCACATACCAATTCTGAATTTCTAATCAGTTACCAAGTTTCATTGATTCGGCTACCTAAACAATTCTTACATTTATCCCCACCCCTTCCAACCTCTTTTTTTTTTTTTTAATAAGAGACAAACAGAAGTTTATGGGATGTGCATCATGCATACATGTGGGAGCACTCAGATGAGTAACTCAAAGGAGTGGTTGGAACTTGGGCTTATATAGCATCTTAACAAAAGAATAATGAATTTTTAGAGAAGTGATGAGACAACGGAAAAGAGCTTTGAGTGTCTACGGTGGCAAATTGTGGGAAAGTAAATATATGGGGAAAACTAATGGAAGATGAGGGCTAGTTAGTAAGGTTTGTTATGTAGATTCTTCTAGTGCCATCTCTGGGCTATCCATCCTCTTTAACTCAGTCTCTTATCACATTCCACCTGGAATTCAGCAATAGCCCCCTAACTAGTCCACCTGATTTCAAGCCATCCTCCTCCACTGCTCTAAGAGGTAAACCTGACCACACTGTTCCCTAACTTAAAATCTTTCAGTGGTTCCCCATATTTTTCAGAATAAAGTTCAAGTTCCTTGAAAGTCTCAAGTGGTTTCAGCTTCTACCTTTGCACATTTAGTTCTTTCTGCCTGGGACTCTTCTTCCTTTTCTTTGCCAAATCAAGACTCAGCTCGAGTGTTATTCCCTCTGGGAATCCTTTCTTGCCTCCTCGGATTTAATTTTAACTTTTACACAAGTATGTGCTTGTAGCACATGTGTACTTACACTGACCTTATTAAATAATACCCATTATTTACAAGTTTATTTACCAGTCTCAAATAAGCTCCTTGAAGGCTGGGATCATATTTTATTGAAATAAATTTAGTAGGCACTAAGTAAATATTTTTGAATAAATAAGGTGTGAAATCATTCTCTGAACAGCACTCTTGTTGCATAAAATTCTATTACCTGAATTAAGCCTATAAATGGATTCACAGTCTGATGTCCTATATACACTCAAATGCATTTACCATACTCAAGCCTTCTGAGGCAAGAGCCTTGTTAAGTATTCACATTTGTAATCTACTAAGTATATATAAATATTACATTCCACACATATCACCATTCAGTTTTACTCATCAAAGACTTACAGGTTTTGGCTTCTCTCTTGAGTTACATTTTTTCAAATGCTTTGCTAGTTGATCTTCATATACTGTGCTAAATTTAAGGAAAAAATTATTTAAAATAAGACTTGTGACAATTACTGTTTCTAGCACAGAAAAACCCTTATCTGTCACATACTTACTGTTTTGGATCTAAAGGACACAGGATTCTTTTCCGAGCATTTTCTTCCTAATAAAACAAAAGGATATATTTATTTAAATAAAATATCAAGTTCATTGCTTACAGATACTAGAAATAACTTCAGTGTAATCATAAGCTTATGCATTCCCAAAACAAGGTAAGGAAACCTTAAGAGGACATTAATAAAACGCTGGCAAAATCAGGTCATAGGGTTTAAGAATGAAAATCTCCAATGTACCTGGTTTATGCATATATGAGCGAATACTGCTTTGGACAACAAGGGTCTATAGTTTCAAACAGGTTATAGAGAAGGCCTACCTATAGAATTTTGAATCAATGATAGCACTGACTATCATATGTACTATTATTTTAGCATCACTAAGAAATAAAAAATGCTGCCAATTTAAATTATGACATATCATTGATTTTAAGGTGCATTTTGATTTCACAGATGTTAAAATGTGGAAAAAAAAGTGTCTCAGAAACAATAAAATATGGCATTTTAGCCATTTGGTATGTGGTCATATTTTCCTGGCTTTGCAACTTTTCAGTATAGCAGAGCTACATCCTGTTTGTTTCCAAGTTACATGGATTTAACTACACGCACTAGGAAAAAATAAAGGAAAATTAACAGTGTTGGCAATTCTGCCCAATATTCTTATGTAACAGGACAGTATAATAGTTAAGGTCATATACAGGTCAACATATACACCTATACACAGGTCAGCCAGACTGCCTAAGTATGATTCTCAGCTCCATCTATCAGCTCCTAACTCTATGACCTGAGGTAGGCTTGTTGCCTCATCTGGAAGAAGAGAATAGTATGTCTTACCTCCTAAGGTAAGAGTTAAAGAAAACTGCTTAGCACAGTGCTGGCCATATTAAATGCTAAGTGTTCACTGTTATTAACAATTCTTTTTTCAGTTTATTTCAGTTCTGATCTGCCTCCCAGCATATCCACGAAACTATGTACACCGAATTTCATGAGAAAGCTAAGAGATTTCTCAATATTTTTTTGAAAATTCTATATTCTTCCTTATTTGCTGAATTTAAAATCTCACCTTCACGAAAGAGAAGACTCCATTCTAATCCCCCAAAGTCCAACCACAGAGGGGAAAAAAAATTTTATAATTTATTATTTGGGTTTAGAAACACGGTTTCTCAACCTTGGAACTACTGACATTTTGGCCGGGTAATTCTCTTTGTGGGGGACTGTTCTGTGGGTCATAGGAGGTTTAGCACGTCTCCCCGCTAGATGCCAGGAACATTCCTCAGTTCTGACAACCAAAATATCTTTAGATATTGCCAAGTGTCTCCTGGGGGAAAAAATCACCCCCAGTTGAGAACCACTGGGTAAAAATGAATATGAGTGGTCTCAGCTGTATATGACACAAGAAAAATGAGATGGAAACGTTAACACCCAATTATATCATATATTACAGATTCAGCAGGATGCCCACAATTGAAAACCAAATTTTAGTCATGGAAAGTGTTTCCAGTTGGTGTTCTGCAGTCTTTCTTCAAGGGACTAATAAAAACATGTCATTCCTCTCCAGGAGTATCAGTCAAGCTTGTAAAGATCTATTCATATTCTACTACTGTCACCATCTACAGGCACCTTCCAGATGTCTGGTTAAGGTCTAAGATCTTATAACAGAATGAAAACAAAATCCTTCTCCTAGCATAAATCTCATTCTTCAACCAAGGGATGTTTGCTGGTCCCCTCAAAACCAGCCAATGCAACTATGGGTGTACTTCAAAGAGCTCTCATGCAAAGTCACAGATCTCCTACATTCCACAACAGGAATATGCTGTTTCAGAACGCTTCACTCCAGGCAAATATCAGTCAAATAAAATATGAAGTAAAACTATGGCTATGATGGACAGTAGCAAATGAAAGGGCTCTGGGGGCTGAGCTGTACTGGCTATTACCTAGAAGAATAAGCCAGCCGGCTAACAAAGAAAAATAGTAATACTGCTCATTCAGAAGGCATGGATAACAATGCCCACTCAGAAGGCATGAAACCCGATGCCTGCCTATTTGGTTAATCCTTCTATTAGACATGCTCTTTTTCTATAAGCATTCTGCTCCTCTTGTTGTTTTTATTTTTCTATCATATATATCCTAAAAAAATACACATATATAAAACATATATTGTTCAACAGTACAATTATATATATAACTACCATCGAACAAAAGTGTACACTTTCTGTTCTCAATTTTAAAAGGAGAGTCAATTCTTACATGTTTTTAAAGCTTTCCTTCCTCTTTCCAGCAAAGTAGTTATAAGTTGCTTTCAAAAGATTGTACATCTAAATAAATTTTTAAAAAAGTTTCTCTCAACTGCATTCACGAGAAGTGATTCTCGTTCACGAAACAATTAGAAAACAATTAGTGAAACCTTGGGCTCTTTGATCACTAATCTTTCTAACCTACCACTGCCCCTCAGGAAGGCGGAGAATGGGCAGAGTGTAAGAAGCTGTAGTTTAGAGTGAAGCTAAAACCTAGCATTGCCATGAGTTAGTATCAAGATAAATAAGTCACTGCAGTCACTTTACTTAGTAAAAAAAAAAACACTGCACTTGACTAGGACGCATCATCGCTCCCCAGGAAGTGCAGGACTGCGTTTATTAAAGGAAAAGCTAGAAAATCAGGAGAAACAAGCAGAAATCTGTCAGAGACGGGAGGTGCCGGACCAGGGAACTTATTTCTGACTCTTTCTGACTCTCGAGAGGGTAGGGCGATACCAGACCTCCGCGGCTCCAGCGTGTTCACCACAGAACCTTCTCCCTGCTGCCACCACCATCCTGCAGAACCGCTTCTTCTTTTCCACATAGTAACCGCATCGACCCTCAGCTGGAAAGCCAGTCGCGTGCGGCACGGGCGCAGAAGCCGCCATAATTCAGGGCTCACTTCGGGTGTTGCAAGCATCGGTTGACGAAAGGAAAAGTTGTCAGCGTCCTCGGGTCCCCTTCCCTTAATAAATATGGCTGCCGCAGGTCCCGCCACGTAGGTTAACACCCGGAACTACCTTCCCACCCTGCGCAAAACCGGAAGAAACTGATGGTGGCTGGCGAGGCCCAAATCTCCTCCGTCTTTCCCCCCGTTTCTCTTTCCCCGCCTCCTCCGCAGAAGCCGAGCGCCAAACTCAAACTTTAGCAGGACCCGGACGCTTTTCAGGCTAGTACCGCGGGTCGGGCCTGTTGGACTTTTCCGTGCACCGGCGGGGGCAGCGGTCCAACATGAGCCAGGTTCTGTTCCAGGAACTAGTCCCGTTGCAGGTGAAATGCAAAGACTGCGAGGAGAGGTGAGGCCCGCGTTACCCCGTGCCCGCGGGTGGCGGTTGGGGTCGGGCCAAGGGAGAAAGATGGCGGCTCAGGCCTGCGGCTGGCTGTCCAGCCGGCCTCCCCGGGACGCGGGGAGAGACCCAGCTGGGACCTAATGGTTACCTCTCTCACCCAGTCGGCCGTTGCTGAGGGCAGGGAAGGAAGGGTGTGAGGAAATGAGAAGCCGACCCGCATCAAGTTAATGTCAAAAGTCTTAGCTCTGAACGAAATCCTGGAGCTTATAGTCCTGCTCTCTCCTTGTGACAGATAAGGACTCTGGCCCAGAGAAGTTAAATATTTATGCGAAGGCTCACAGTGAGTTCACTGCGGGGCCGGCTCTAGAACTCAGGTCTTGGCTCCCAGCCTTCCTTTCGCTCTCCTTTGAATTATATGAAGCTTAAAAAAATTGAGTTTTATGGTGTATTGCCTCTTCTCATTAGTTACTAAAAATAAATTACGTTTAGTCGACCAAAAACAATAGGGGAAAACCAGAATTTTTATTCATTCATTTATTTAGTCAACAAATATTGCTTGCTTGCAGAACACTTTGCTGGGCACTGGGGATACAGTGGTCAGGAAAAACAGTTCTTGTTTTCGTGGAGTTTACAGTCCACTGGGGAGGAAATAAAGGCCAGTCTCACAGATAAATGCAAAATTACAGCTTTGACCAAGGAGGTGGTGCTATTGGGGCTTAAATAGATTTGACTGGATGTCAGGCGATTTCCATTTTGTCTTAGTTTCCCCACTCATTAGCTGTCTCAACTTATCTGACCCTTAAGTTTCCTCATTTGTGAAACTGATATAACATGCCTACCCACGTGATTGTTATGAGGATCAAGCGTGAAAATGTATGTGCAAGCCAAACGGTGTGGAAAGTGACATATAAAAAATGAAGACATTGATTTACTGAGTTGCCAGTAATATGAAACTAGTATATAGTTCAGAATTGGGTCCAAAAGCAATTGGCAAGCCAGGCAAGGAGAGAGTACCAAAAGGGGCAGCTGCATATGGAGATCTGTGGGTTATTTCAGTTGGTCATTCTTTTATGCTGCCCAATATGGGAGCCACATATGGTTACTGGACTTTTGAAATGGAGCTAATCCGAATTGATGTGCCATAAGAGTAACATGCACATTGGATTTTGAAGACTTACCGTGAAAAAAAAAGGAACGTAAAAGTATCTCAATAATTTTTATATTGGTTATATGTCAAGATGACAATATATTGGGTTAAATAAAATATTATTAAAATTAATTTACATATTTTAATTTTTTTAATGTGGCTTCTGGAAAATTTAAAGTTATATACATGGCTCATACTTGTGGCCTCCATTGTATCTCTATTGGACAGCACTGTTCTAGAATGATTATAGAAGGATAAGAGAAAGGGGGAGCATAATTTCTCATTCCAATATTGAAACTCCTAGCTCTTCTCCATCTCATTACATTGTCACTACAGTTATCTGCTTAAAACACAATTCAACCTTTTCACTCCTTCTGTTTAGAAACCTTTCATATATTCCTAGAACCTGTAGCAGTGGTCAGCAAACTAGAGCCCATAGGCCTGAAGGCCTACTGCCTGTTTTTGTAAATTTTTATCGGTACACAGCCATTCTTATTTGTTTGAGAATCGTCTATGGCTGCTTTTGTGCTGCAAGGGCAGGGATGAGTAATTGTGACAGAGACCTTATGGCCTGCAAAGCCTAAAATATTTACTCTTTGGCCCTTTACAGAAAAAGTTTGCTGACCCCTGACCTGTAGGAAAAACAATCCAGACTCTTTAGTTAAGTATTCAAGGCCAGCTCAGCTCAACAAGTATTTATGAATGCCCACTGTGTACCGGGAACTGTCCTAGGTGCTGAGAATATAAAGCTCCTTCCCTCCTCGCTACCCCCTGCCAAAAAAATTTTCATTCTGGCCCTCAAGGAACTCACACTTTTAATAGGAAAACGAAAAGACTTTCCTTGGAGGGGCAGCATAGCACCCGGTAAGAGTTCAGGCTCTGGAGCTAGATTGTCTGGGTTTAAATCCCAGTGCTGCCACTTATTGACTGTTTGATTTTGTGCAATGTTTTTTACTTACCTTCTCTGTGCCTCATCTTTAAATTGATGATAATAAAGGTGCTTGCCTCATGGGATTGTTATGAGCATGAAATGAGTTAATATATATAATGTGCTTAGCACAGGACCTGAAGCATAATAAGCATTCACTAAACATCAGCTATTAAAGTGTGATTAATGCATGAAGTAATATAAATGTGCTCAAGTCATCGAAAAGAAAGAAATTCAGTTGAAAACAGTGGTAGTGCTCAGAGAACTCTGGAGGAAAGTGATGCAAAATTTTGAAGTCCATGGTTAACACCAACTTGCTTTTTCATTTTTGTTTCCTCAGCTCCCTCTTCTGCCCGATATACTAGTCACACAAGACTATTTGTTATCCTCTGAATATACCTGATACTCTCTCAATACAATACCTTTAAAACTCCTGCTCTTCCCTCGCAAATGCTTTTTCTTTCATAACCTTCAAAGTCTGTCTTAAATCCCTTCACTATAAGGACTTTTTCCAAGTTGCCTAAGTTGAAATTAATTGCCATTATTCGTTTATTAAATAGCATGCTGTAAGTGAAAAATCTGAGTTCCAATTTGGGCTCTGCAATGTGACCCTAACCAAGTTTGTAACTCTGTGTGTCTCAGATTCTTCCTTTGTAGGAGAGAGATAATATTTACTTAAGGATATTGTTGTTGTTAAATAGGACGATATTCATAAAGTGCCTATCAGGTACTCAGTTAGTGTAGGTACTTAGTAAGTGTTAATAACCCTTCCCTCCCCTCTCTTGAAGCCCTAAAATACAATCAGAAGCAAATCTGAGGTAAAGTCATTTAATCTAATCTCAGTTTGAGGGCATAGACCATGTTTATTTCTGTTTGTATCCTTAGCACCCATCACAGTACCTGGCTTAGAGTAGCTTTTACTTGTTTGAATTGAGAGTTTAAGGTTATAGCTACTAGGTGGCAGAGGTGGGTTAGAATCCAGTTCTGCTAATGCCAAATCTAACTGATAGAAAGGATGTTACGCAGGTTTATACATTGTTCAGAGTGTGACATTTATTTTGAGAAATTACATTTTTAATTGAGTTTTTATTGATTTATTTTATATTGTTCCTATGATGTTAGCCATTACAATGCAGAAAATAAGATTTGTGGTTTCAGATAGTATATCCTCTGAAAGCTCAGATTTTTCTACAAGATATTTTGGGGGGGAGTGTTTGAAGTAAACATGGGGAATAGGTTTGATCTATGGGCCTTTCTTCCTCCTTTTTTCTCCTAGCATCAGTGCGTATAGGCATTTGGAATAATGCAACAACATCATTAATATGATTATAAAATTATCATATTAATATAACCATTCCAGTATTATGTAAAGAACACTTTATTAAATGGATGCTTCTTGAATTTATTTTTTTTTACAAATTTGTCAAGTATGACAGGACTTTTAAAAGTGTAAATCACCATAAAAAATTAGTTATCAACTGCAGTGTCATGCCACCATGGCAGTATGTACTAGAAAAAACTTAAAAAGATGAAAACCAAACATAATGACATTGTAGAGCTGAAAAGGCCCTCAAAAACCTGACTCAGTCCAGATTAGGAAATTGAAAGTTTCCCCCTAAGAATGCTTAATTTAAGTGGACTTGGAGTAGGAATGTAATCTGTTTCACATATATTGCTCTAGATATTAGAAAAATAGAAACAAAACGTTCTCTTGTTTTAAAGATAATTCTTCTTATCTTTGCAATGTTCACCAGTGCTGCTTGTTCCTTTTCAGATAACCGATACAAGTTAGGGTAACCTCATCATATGAACTAAGATTTAGCATCCAGTCGTATGTTCAATAAGAAATTTAACTAAAATGACATGTTTTAAGCCAATATAAAATTGCAGGTCAGAGCATAAAAAAACTCCAAACAGTTGAATCTAGCCTTTGTCGACTATCACCAAGTTTTTCCATCAGCACTCAGTTGCTATGTCTATACTTTTTACTTCTGCAGTAGATAAGTAGTAGAATGTGGGAAAGATTTAAAACACATCTTTACAAGAATAACTTAAAATTGAACAAATTCTATTTGTTAGTTTCTTTCTCCGTACATCAGGGAAACACCATTGTTCTTTAATTCTGGTAGAATAGTTTGAGAACCACTTGTGCAGAGATGTTTTTTCACCAGTTTTTCCCTTTATTTCCTGAATTATTTAAACATTTTTGCTCAATTTGATTAATGTTTATGAGCGCCTTTATTTATATTCCTCTCTCCGATACTGGATTATCTAAGATGCAGTATAGAATATGGAAAGTTATGGTTTCTTCCTTTTAGGGTTTAGAGTTGCTCTAGGATTAGATAGATGATAATAATCTTGTTGACAGTACTTCTGTGGATATATTGCATATAGCGTATGTTTAGCAGGTGTAGTTTATGGATCTGAAAAAAACATTTTGTGTATGCATAAGGGAAGGGAATGTGTTGATTCTAAACATTCCAAGTAGTCTAATATTACTTCACATTTTAAGTTTTTCAAAGGAAATTTCTCATAAATCAGTTTGCTCATTTGAATTGGTGATTTTTAAAATGTGAAACGTTATTAAATTGATAGTTTGTCTTTCAATAGGTGCTATTTTATAATCAGGCCAGTACTAGGCCTTCCACATCTTTTATCTCATTTAATCCTCTCAACAACCCCATTTTACAGGAGAGAAAAATTTAGCCTCAGTTTAAAAACTTGATTACTTATTAGTGGAAGAACAAGAACTTAAACTTCAAATACAGTGTGCTTTCTAAACATGTTTATAAGTTAGGGAACACCTGTGGAAGATCTTGTAGCCTAAGACCCAAAACTTGAGCTAATACAAATGACAATGATAACTCATTTCATGTGAATGTTATTGATAGTTGGATGTATCTTTTTATACAGGAGAGTAAGTGTTAGAGTGAGCGTTGAACTACAATCAGTTTCCAATCCAGTTCACAGAAAGGTTGGTATTTATTTCTTTTTTGAAATATGATTTCTGTACATTGTAGATAATTCTATTTGTTCTTAAAGAATGTGAGATCTTTTTCTTTTTTTTGTGAGGAAGATCAGCCCTGAGCTAACATCCATGCCAATCCTCCTCTTTTTGCTGAGGAAGACCGGCTCTGAGCTAACATCTATTGCCAATCCTCCTCTTTTTTTTTTTTTTTTTTCCCCCCCCGAGGGCCCCACTAGGTAGTTGCATGTCATAGTTGTACGTCCTTCTACTTGCTGTATGTGGGCCGCCACCTCAGCATGGCCGGAGAAGCGGTGCATCGGTGCACACCCGGGATGCGAACCCGGGCTGCCAGCAGCGGAGCGCACGCACTTAACCACTAAGCCATGGGGCTGGCCCTAAGAGTGTGAGATCTTTTGTTACACCCATCTTGCTTTTTAATTTTGGGCCATTTTCTAATGTGCAAATCTGGGGTGGTAGAATCTACTAAGACAACAACTGAAAGATTATTATACCATATGTTTCTAAAGCATATGGGGAGAATTGAGGGTTGGGAGAACAGTCTCCTTAGGTTTGCCCAGTGCACTTGAAAGTTGCGAAAATATATATTGCTACTCTATATAATTGACTTTTCATGGTATAAATGTGAGAATGGAATGAATTGAAGCACTGCAGGGAGATATTCTTGAATCTTTTACTTTGCCTTTTAAACAGAGGCATTTAGAGCATCAGTGCTATATGATCTTCAAAAGTGTGAGTCCTAACAGAGATGGGGATATAGAATAGAGGGCTAAGAAATACAGCATCTTGTTTTCTCTATGTCGTAGCTTTCCCTAAACATATTCAAGGATCTAGTAGTAGTAGTAGTAGCAGCTTCAGTTTCTTATAGCATCTTGGGGTAGATTTCAAGAAGTACTTAAATAGAAGCAGCTCTAAGAACAGGGCATTCTGAATCAGGGCTGATACCTAGATTGCCAGCTTTCCAGGGTAGAGATTATATGTTTTACTTCTTACATGTTATTCCTTACGCCTGCTATACCTCTTCATTTTCTAGCTCTACTCATAAGTGGTTTAGATTTTTCTAGGACCCTAGCAGTTCCTCAGTAGCCACGAGTAGATTTTATTTCAAATGGGAAGTTTATTCTTGACCTGCATGCTTATTTCTTTATTAATCTTCCATCATCTTGTTGCTAATGCCTGTTTTCTGTAACACCAGTGTTCTCTGAAGTACCTGATTTCTCTGTACTTTTCTGTCAGCTTTAACTGCTATGATGATCTGTTATGCTGTAAATTTAACTACCTGGAAAGTGGTCTTTATGAAAGGTCTTCACTTCATTTGAAACTGAAAACAGATGGGGTTCCACGTCAGCGACCACCTGGAGTGGGAGAGAATAGGCCCTTAGGAAGAAGCCCTGGCCACATGTCACCTGATACCCCTGTCCTCTGCCTGAGAGACAAATGCTCCTTTCTTTTCTAGGGTGGATTATTGTCATTTCTGCTGATGTATTTGCTGCTTTTGAAATATGACACAATTAACTTGAGGGAAACTGAAAATATAATTGAATATGATATAGTCAGTGTTAAAGAATATTTTTGTCATGGTATCATAGTGCAGCAAGGGCTGGGTCTGAGTTTTCCTAAGCCTCTGATAGGATGATGTTCGTAAACTTTCAACTCCTAGCGTTTAAATGACTTTTATAGACCCCTATGTGGCTCTCAAGGAGCAGAATATCTACCCCTGTTTAAGATAGTTAAGTATTTAAAGACTAGTGAAAACCCAGCAGCAGCAGAAAACAAACCTATCTGAAGTATAATGGTGATACATTGATATAATTAGATAATTTCACTTCCAACAAGGATGAAATTAGTCTAAAAGCGTAGATTACTGAAAATATTAAAAAATAACAATTTTCCTTATAGGATTTAGTTATCCGTCTGACTGATGAAAGTGATCCATTTTTCCTGTATAACCTCGTTATATCTGAGGAGGATTTTCAGAGGTAACTAAATTTATTTTTCTGGTCTTATGTTTAATCTAGGAATAAGTAAGTTTTTAAGTTTTATGAATGTGTTGGTACTATTCTCTTTGAAACACAAAGCTATTAGGAACATTTATGTATTTTGGGAACACTAGACTATTTATACTCTGTTCATGATGTTTTTGAAAATAAATATTTCATAGATTATCAGAGTTCTGCTTAAAGTAGCTCAGAAACTTGGAGCTTTAGCTAAATTTATTGACCTTTTCCCTCCCATTGAATAATTCTATAAAAATCAAAGTTCCCTAGCTTAGTTCTTGATTATAAAGGGTGTTCAGTAAATAAAAAAAGAGTCTTTCAGGTTGAGAATTATAATTAAAGATGATAATTAAATTTTTAAAATATCTCTTTTCCTGTCTTCTGTATAGTTTAAAATTCCAGCAAGGTCTTCTGGTAGACTTCTTAGCTTTCCCACAAAAATTTATAGATCTCCTTCAGCAGTGTACTCAAGAACATGCCAAAGAAATTCCAAGGTAAGTCTCATGAGAGCACTACATCATTAAACTCCTCTCAAGAGAAATTCCTCTTTGTAAGACAAGTTGATGACAAAGTATTTTCTTTGTATTGTAAGTACTCCTGTGTATTTTAAAAACTGAGATTAGGACTCCATTAAATCTCAAATTTTAAGGAATCGTGATTAAAATCAGAAATACTTATCCCTTAATTTTCATGTCTTGGCGAAGCCGTTAAAATTATCTGAAATATTTAACAGCATCGAGTAAATGTTTTTATAGTGAACTTGGAAAAAGGGAAGAATAAGATTTTTTGTGTGTATATTCGTATTTCATGTAGCGCTAACGCCTGATCCTTTTATTGTAAAGTTCACCAACCTTTTATCTATTGGTTTCAATCAATTGATGATTGTTGTTTGAATCGATTATTTCATTAAGAACTACAAAATTATGCTTTTCTAATTCTCTCATTCTGTATTTATTAGGTGTAATTCTTCTATAAAGAAGAACTTTTCCTCATCACTTAGGGCTATTTGATTATCTGATAATTCATATAGGAAAGGATAAATGCTTAATTTTTACTTCTGAGTTGTCTATTTTCAGAGTAAGGAGTTGTTTCTGTAGTTACTTTTGTGGTTTCAATGAGTTTTTCCCTTGTTTTTGTTTTTAGTTTTTTGCCTTCTCTCCTTGTCTGTCTCTTATTCTGCACTCATGGGCATTTATATATTCACCATGTTTCAATCAATCCTTTTTCTTGCCCAATTTATTCATTTTACTATTTACATCAATATATCCAGTTTTACATTGGGAGTCCTTTCATATTGGCTCCTATGATTCTAGTATGCCCCCTTCCCTCATCCTTCTATTGTTGATCTGTTGAATGAATCATGAACTTGTGATTCAGTGGAGCTCATGATTCAGTGGGAGAGAGAATCACTATCTTGTAAGTGTGGTGTAATGTGACACTTTCTTTTCAAAGGTTTTTGCTACAGTTAGTTTCTCCAGCAGCTGTTTTGGATAACTCACCTGCGTTTTTAAATGTGGTAGAGACAAATCCTTTTAAACATCTTACACACCTCTCACTAAAACTTTTACCTGGAAATGATGTGGAGATAAAGAAGTTTCTAGCAGGCTGTTTGAAATGTAGCAAGGTAAGATTTAAATTTAAGTTATTCTTCTAAAATAAGTACTAAAGATCTCTGATAAATCACTGAAGAGCTATATTGCCATTAGTTTTTGTTTTCTGAATAAAATTTTTTAAAGATGTTCAGCAGATTTTTATAGCATGTAATGAATTTATTTTGTTTTATTGTTTTTCATTGAGTCAGGGTACAATGAGGATAGAACTGGACCGGGAATTGAGAAAACTTAGGTCCCAGGGTTTTTGCTAATTTTCTGTGACCTTGTGCAGGTCACTTAAACTCGTGGTGTCATGGTTTCATCAACTGGTAGATATATATGGAAATATCTACTGTATCTAGCCTATCTTAAATGGGATAAAATATATGAAAGTGTCTTGAAAATTACAAAGTGCTCTATAACTGTATAAGGTGTGTAGCACAAATAAACAACATTGGGATGCCCCTTAAGAGTTTTCAGAAATTCTCTTTAGTTAAATGCTATAGATCAGTGCATCTCAAAATTTAATGGTACTCAAATGTTCTGGGGATCTTGTTCATGCAGATTCTGACTCAGACGGTCTGAGGTGGAGCCTGAGATTCTGCATTTTTAACAAACTCCTTGGGTGATTCTGATGCTGTACTTTGCTACATTTTGAGTAGTAACAGCTACAGTTGATTAAATTGTGAACTATGTAATTTTATTATTTTTATAAATAGGAAGAAAAACTATCATTGACACAATCACTAGAGGATGTTACTAGGCAACTGAATTTCACACAAAAGGTAATTCAAATTTCATTTTGTCTTTATAACTCATCCAAACATTGGCTCTGAATTGCTTCTTGAATCAAATCCAGGCTTTTGTGTATTGTTTTTCAAAGCATGCTGCCATTGAATTCCCTCTCCTTTTTGCCACACTTTTCCTACCAGTTAATTATCTGATGCTTTCTGTCTTTGATATTTTATTCCGTCCAAACATTTGTTATCCAATAAAACACATTCCTTTCAAGACTTCATTAAGATAGTATATAATGTCTGTCACATGTTAGCTCTCTGCTCCTCTTTTATTCACCTCATTCCTCCTGTCTAAAATGGCTTTTCAGTTCCTGTCTTCTAAACTTTTCCCTTTCTTCTTTCTGTTAGGTTTAGAATTAATTCCTCTGCTAGGCTTATCATCATTTCAGTCTTAGCTACTACCTTTTTACCCCTAGTCCTTGAAATTGAGGAGGAAAGTATCTGACACACTACATGGCTTCAGGCAGAAAATTGTCCTGCACAACATGGCCCATCTTGGGAACCTGTGATACTAGGTTTTATGTGTGTAAGTGAACTACTTATGACTAACTTGCTCTGCCCGGGGTTGCTTTACTTCTTAATGTCTGAGGAGAGGATTGGGTGGGCAGAGCCAGATTTGACTAGAAGGTTAAAGATAGTTAAGCTTGACCTATGGACCATTTTAGCTCTAAAATTGCTTTTATTCTAGTCTTGATTTCCTCAAATTCAAAAAGTCTGTGTTGGAAAAGGCTTTGAGTATGTCTTGAAAAGCTGTGATTCCATTTTCTTTAATATTCTTGTAATTATTGCCATGTTCTAATCTAATAACTTGTTCAGGAAAATGTCTTAATATTTTGTATTGAATTCTAATACAGACATTATCAGAAAAAATCCAAGAATTAGATAAGTTACGGAATGAATGGGCATCACACACAGCAGCATTGTCAAATAAGCATTCTCAGGAACTGACAAATGAGAAGGAAAAAGCCTTGCAGGTATGAACATTAAAGGAAACTGGAAAAATATTTTGTTATTGCTGTTAGTCATTTTATTAATTAGAAAAGTAATATATGCTTGTTTTAAAGTTTTCAAACATTACAGAAGTATATAAAAATTAAGTCTCTCCTTCAAAGTCTTAATACCCAGAGATAATCTGTAAACCTTTTGATGTGTGTTTTTCCAGACTTTCTCTATATATGTAAATAATAAATATTTATATTTATTTATAAATTTACAAATATTTGTTTATATTTATAAATTTAGAAATATGTACATTATATATAGTTATTGATATATACATACACGCATAGTGGGATTTGGTTTTGTTTTATGCTAATGAGGTCCTACTGTGTGTATTGGTTATAACTTTTTTTCACCTAACGACATCATAGATATCATTCTTTATCAGTTCAGATATTCCTTTTTAGTGGTTGCATAGTATTCATTATCTGGCCATGACATAAATTATTTAGCTACTTACCCAACTGGTATACATTTAAATGCTTCAAAAATTTGGTTATTGCAAATAATACTGCAGTGAACATTTTTTGTTCCTAGAAGTGAGATTACAATATATGACTATAAAATATTAATTAGTATTACAAATTTGCCACCCAAAAAGCTTGTACCAAATGGAACCCCAAAAATAGTACATGACAGTACTTATTTCCCCATACTCTTGTTATTATTGACCTTCTTAATATTTGCCACCTGATAGGCATTATAGTAGGATTAGTTTTAATTTATTTTTCTTAGATTTTTATTGAAGATAAGTATCTTTTCATATGACTTTTGGCCATTTTTATTTCTTTTGTGGATTACTTTTTAATATCTTTTGCTTACTTTTTTCTGTATGACTCATTTTCTGCTGCTTTATAGCATGGATTTATTTTTTACCTTTGTTACAGCTTCTTTAGTATTAAATTTTATTTTTGTTTTTATGCACTTTACTAGATGTTTGCTTTTAAAAGTATAGCTTGATGATATTTTTATATGTAACTTTCACCCAAATCAAGATTCAGAAAATTGTACCACCCCTCTAGGTTCCCTTGTATGCCTTCCCAATCTATATGCCCATAGGAGGTAATCACTATTCCAACCTCTATCATCATTGATTAGTTTTGCCTGGTCTTGAACTTCATATAAATGGAATCATACAGTATGTACTTATTTGTGTATGGCTTCCTTCACTCAGTGTAATATCTCTGAGATTCGGTTGTGTTCTTGTGTGTTTCTTTTTTTTTTTTTTTTTTTAAGATTTTATTTGTTTATTTTTCCCCCCAAAGCCCCAGTACATAGTTGTGTGTCATAGCTGCACATCCTTCTAGTTGCTGTATGTGGGACGCGGCCTCAGCATGGCCAGAGAAGCAGCGCGTCGGTGCGAGCCCGGGATCCGAACCCGGGTCGCCAGCAGTGGAGCGCGCTCACTTAACCACTAAGCCACGGGGCCGGCCCTTGTGTGTTTCTTTTTCTTGTTATGTATTATTCTATTATTTGAATATACCTAATTTATTTATTTTCCTGTTGGTGGACATTTGGATTGTTTCTGATATTTTGCTATTATTAATTAAACTGCCATGAACATTCTTGTACATGTCCTTTTGTGAACAGATACACTTATTTTCCTTGGGTATATATTTAGAATTGGAATGATTACGTTCTAGTGTAGGCTTATGTTTAGCTTTGGTTTCTGCCATTTTTCCTAAGTGGACATACTAGTTTACACTGCCATTCTGTGGGTGTCTAATTAGTACCTCATGATAGTGAATACTTTTTCATATGCGTCTTGATCACTTAGATATTCTGTTGTGAAGTGCCTGTTCGAGTCTTTAGCCCATTTTTAAATTAGGCTCTTAGTATTTTTCTTAATGATTTGTAGGAATTCTTTGTATATTCAGGACATGAGTCCTTTGTCAGATATATGCATTGTGAATATTTTCTGTCTGTGGCTTGCCTTTTCATTTCTGAATGGTATAAAGAAGGATATTTTACCTTTATCTATTATGTATATTATAAACATTTTCTCCCAACCTGTCATTTGCCATTTACTAGTTATCTTTTGCCAAATATAGTTCTTTTTATTTGAATTTCATTAAATCTGTCCATCTCTGCCTTTATGGTTTAAGGCTTCATTTCGTGTTTCACCCCAAGCTTATGAAAGATACTCTCCAATATTTTCTTCTAATACTTTTATAATTTTCTAGTATTTAACTCTTTAATCTATTTGGAATATATTTTTGTGGAGTATGATATGAAGTAGGTATTTTTTTGACATAGAGTCAGTGAGTTGTTCCAATACCATATTTCCCAGTGATTTAAAATGCAACCTTTAGTATGTACTAAATTCCTTTATGTATTTGGGCTTGTTTGTGGACTGTTGGGAAGAACTGATATCTTTGGAATTTTCTTATCCAGTAGAGAGAACTATCTCTTTATTTCTTCAAGTCTTATTTGTTTAAAACAGGCTTATCGTTTACTCTTTATTTCCCTCCTTTTCTCCTTCTCTTCTTTCTTTTTTTATTTTACATTTCTGTTTAATTTTTTTGCCTAGAGATTTTATAGGTTTTTGCTCTATAAATGGAACCATCCATATCCCACCACTGTGATAATTTTCTAATTGTTTATTGCTGCTGTGTTAATATCATACCCATTAATTCTAAATTATATTTACATGTTTGCATATTAATTTACATATTCTAATAGTTTTGGAGTTGATTCTCTTAGGTTTTCCAAAAATAGTAATTTGTCCCTTCCTAAGATTTATGTCCTCTTTTTTCTCTTGTACGTAAAAGTGCTGAATAATAGTGGAATCCTTGCTTGTTCCAGTCTTTTTTGGTAAATGCCTAAAATATTTCACCATGAGGTATGATGTTTGCTCTGCATTTGAGGAAGTTTTCTTCTTTTCCTGGCTTCCTAAGGGTTTTAATCCAAAGAGTGCTAAGTTAGATGAAGTGATTTTTGGGAATCTAACCAAAAATCATATCATTTTTTTCACTTAATCTAATAATGTAATAAATGATAATATATTTCCAAATGTGGAACCATCTAAATTTATAGAATAATACTGAGTCAAAGAGATTTTTAATAAACTGTTGGATCAATTTGCTAATATTTAATTTAGGACATTTGTGTTTATATTCATAGGTGACATTGGTCTGAGATTAGCCTTTTCCTGAACTCTTAGTCTACTTATTAAAATTATAGGCCATAGACTATGGTATTAGACTTATGTTAGCATCATAAAATGAGTGAGAACATTTTCCAGTTTTATCTATGCTGCGGAACAGTCAAATAACAAGGAATTATCTGTTCCTTGAAGGCCTGATAGAATTAGCTTTTTATCATTTGGGTCTGGTGCCTTTTTGAGGCATTTATCTTTAGGTTCTTTTCCTGTTTCCTCCATGATTATTGATCTGTTTGGATTTTCTGTTTTTTCTTGAGTTAGTTTTGTTAATTTATATTTCCTTGATGTGTATTTCATCTGTGTGTTTAAATGTGTTAGTACAATATCATACATATTGTCATATGATTTTTAAAATCTTCATATCATTCCTTATATGTTCTTAATTTTTTTTTTAATGAGACCATGGTTTGTCTGTTTTTTAGTGTTTTTGAAGAATCAGTTTTTTATTTCAATAGTTAGTTCTACACTGTTTTCCCCCCTATTTCATTAATTTCTGTTATTTACTAAATTATTTTTGGCTCTATTTTCAAACAAGTTAGGTTGTAAAAGTCTCATCATAAGTGCATTTGTTAACTCCAAAGTGACTGAAGGATTTCTTTGTATTCCTTACTGCATTTTCTAATAGGGTTGTGAATCACTCCTTTGAGACTTTAAAACCAGGCCACTCTTCTCTTCCTGCTGATAGATATTCTATAGGGCAGTGATTTTAAAACTTGAGTGCACATCAGAATCCTCTGAAATGAACAAAGTAGAAAATGTAAATGTTGTAATCCTATCCCTTACACTATCATTTTTTTTAAACAAAAACTCCATAATTTACATGATCACTGAGATAAAACCAGTTCTTTATTTTTACTGCCTTTGGCCTCAGTTGCCTTTAGTGTGTTTGATTACCCTCTTAGACAATTACAGTTAGCGTCTTTACCAGTTTGCTCCGTTTTTTTTCCTTGATTGCTCCCTCAACTTTTTATCCAAGGTTGCATTTTCAGTTTTACTTAGATTCTTTCTTGTTTTATCTCTTTTTCTCCCTTCCAGTTTTCCAAAAATGAGGGAATTACTAAAGTAGTATGTAAAATTCTCGAAGTATTTTATGAGAGAGATACTCCCCTGAACTTTTGGTAGACATCTTTGAATGGTTACAACTTTTCTGGAATGCAGTTTTGGAACTTGAATCAAGCTTTATATTTGCTTACATTCTTTGACCTATAATTGATCGTAAGGAAATAATCTGAATTTTGGATGTATGTCTCTGTACAAAAATATTAATCATAGTTTTATTTATAGTTGTGAAAAATTGGAAACTCTGTCCATAGTAGGGCAAGGGTTAAATGAATTATGGTATAGCTATGGGATGGAATGTTGTGCAGCAATTAAAGTGTTTACAAAGAGTTTTTAGTGATGTGAGAAGGTGCAAATGCTAAAGGAATAAAAAGCGTGATTAAATTATATAAATAGCTTCATCTTAATTTGTTAAATTTAAATATGTATATTGTGTATGGATGGGTGATGTCAATTTAAATAGGTAAATGACCGGAAAGGAATATTCCTAAATATTCAGAGTGACTCCATGGATGAAATTATCGGTTATTTGTGATTTCTTTCTTTGCCTTTAAGAGCATGTATAACTTTCATAATCAGGAGAATATACTTTATTTTTGAAAGGTGTTTAGGATTTGGTAGAGTTCATCAACAGAAATTAAGGTAGGTTTGTGATATGATTCAAACAGTCACCGGAGATTACACAGTTACAACCTCGTTCAAATTTTTTTGTTGGTAAAATGTAACTACTAAATGTAAGACTGAACTAGTGAACAATACCTTGCCAATTTTACAAGTTTAGGTGTTTTTTTAATTAGAAAACATATATATTAGTTGTAAAAAATGGAAACAATATAATGGTGTTTAAAGCAAATACTGAAAGTTCCTTATGTACCCACTCATTTTTTTTTTTTTTTTACACAAATAGGTTCATGCTGTATATACTATTTTGCACTTTGGTTTTTTTTTTACTTAGTCAGATATCATTCTTCCCTTAACTTAAACACCATTGCTTCTAAACATATGTGGGTTTAGGAGTAACAGAAATTATGAACAAGACCATAGTGGTAAATAAATTTGCCTTTGTTGACCTTCCTTTCTCCTTCGTGAAATCCATAATTGAAAATAGATCCCCTTTAAAACAGAGACATATAATAATTATAAAGAAGATTAATTAGGATTGTTTTTTTCTTCAAATCTTCTCATCTTTGTATTTCTGTTTTTCTTTGAATTTTGGTCCTGTATGTTTATTATGTAATAGGCACAGGTTCAGTACCAACAGCAGCATGAACAACAGAAAAAAGATTTAGAAATCCTCCACCAGCGAAACATCCAGCAGTTACAAAACAGATTGTCTGAGTTAGAAGCAGCTAATAAGGACCTAACCGAAAGGAAATATAAAGGAGACGCCACTGTCAGAGAACTTAAAGCAAAACTGTCTGGTGTTGAAGAGGTAGTGAATGTTGAGTTCGTCCCCGTCCCCCGCCCCCCC